CTTCTTCAATAGATAGTTTCTAGGCAGCAAAGACTTTTTCTTATTCGTCTGTTATATCCACTGATCCAGCCCAGGCCTGGCATATATAAATGCCCAATAAATATAATAGATGTTAATAAAACAAAAGGAATACCTTTATTGAGATAAGTTTCTTATAGACAAAAACTGTCTGTGGTTATTGGATAGTTCAGGTCCACCTGCTTTTATTTAATCTCTGAAAAGTCTGGTTACAAGGTAGTTGGGAAAGACATTTTTGGTTTCTGACAATAAAAAGAATGGTGGTAGAAAGAAAAAAAGAGAGAAAACTAAGATTATTATGAAATTATACCCAATGTACAACAGTCTCCCTTTCCCTGGTTAATTTCAAGGGCAATCCCATAAACTAAGATATTACTTTTCTCCATCCATTCTAGGAGAAGGGCTTCCTTTTATTAAAACATAGGGATTTTAAATGCTTGATTTATGGTTCCTAGGCAATTTGATTTTTCAAATAAGGGCACATTGACAAGTCTTTTCCTGCATGTCCTTGAAGTTCTGGAGATAATTAAGAATGGATTTAGGAGAACATAGCTAATCCCTGTGCTTCTTTGGAGCTTCAGGTGGTTGCAACCATGTTTCTCCTTAACAAAGGACATCTTGCCCCTTGTGCTAAAACTGCAACAGTTTTTTTTTTTTTTTTTCCAACTCTGAGCTCCGAAGGCTCAATTTAGCATCCAAAAAAATTGAACTGTGTTCTTTCCCTTTAGTACCTCATTACAAACAATAAAGAGTTGAAAAATGGAGTGTTGGCTGGCAATTTTGCTTTGATATATGGCAGAGCAGAATTCAGACTTGCTTTTTTGTCATCTGTAGGACCTCTAGTTTATTTTTCAACTGGAACGCAGAAATAGGATAGTCACGTCCTATGCTCAGTTTACAAAACCAATTGCTTTGACATCCAAGGGTTCTGCAGGTAACGCACAGGTAGCTAGCAATGCTAATGACAACTAGTTCTCCATCAGAGAACCTATAACCAACTTTCAATGTGACTGGTGGCTGTTCCTCACTGCACTAGCTATGTAGCATTAACAATAATCTTTCTACAAATTCAGTAAGCAGTAAGAGAAAACTTATATGTTCTGGCAAGAGTACTTTTGCATTTTATATTCCCCTATGAAGATTTTTTTTTTTTTTTTTTTTTTAAGGCAAATCCAATTCTGCTACTAGCTTCTATTCTGTGCCTGAGGGTGGGGAAGGAGAACTGAGAGCCTTCATCTCCATAGACCAGAAGTTGGAAACTGTGATCTGCGTCAGGGCTGCATGCAGAGAGCAGACAGTTACTATTGGCTTGCACACTGTTTAAAATGATCTGAGCTAGTTGCCAAAAATTAAAAGCAAAGAGGATTTCGTGTAAAAAAAAAATCTGAATTTTGGCCTTTCTTAAAAGCAGTTGGAAATTCAGGCAACGATGGGCTTGATTTCTGACATGGCACTGGAGTTGGGTAATGGCTGGCAGTTTACCCCAATCCAGTTGTGGGGGGGGACCTAGAATGTACCATCTCTTTCTGGATGGTGGAATTAGAAGGGTGACCCATTGAGAGGGCACGGCTTCTGCACAGTCGCTGCCACTCCTGGGACTGTTCACTCACTGTGAGCCCTTTAGGCATTTCAGTTTGTGACCACACCATTGGAAGAAGTCTCCTGCAGCATACGTCTTGATGAGAGAGGGCTGGTCCAGACGGTTTTCTCTGGTTGCTTGACCACAGAAATGGAGATAACAGCATTTGCTTGACCTATCTCCTGTTTTTCTTAAGAAGACAGCTGGACGATTTTGTAGGAATTATAATCAGAGGCTAGGTCTCCCTATCCTCAAGGTTCACCTTACCTCCCAAACCTCAATACTCCCCTTGGGCACCCCCCTGCTGATTTGCCATTTGTTTGTTTTTCAGCCTTTGAGAGGATGTGTCCTGGCAAGATATAGTGATTTCTTTAGCATGACACAGGGGTATGATCTCATTAAATTAAAGAGTTCGAGGCAGTCTTCTTGTGCCATCTTTGAATTAGCCAATCCCAGCATCTATCTCTGTTGACAACTTTTCCTTATTAAACCATGCCTCAAAGTGAACCCTGCAGCTATTGACTTACAGTGGGCAATGCCAAGGAGCTTAGGAGCCCCTTCGTGCCCTCAGCAAACCTAAATAATAGTCTCTCTGTGGCTTCCCAAGAACCACGAGCTGCTCTTACTTGGCACTGGATGACAATCACCAAAATCATTTACTAGTAGAGCTGTATGTGATACTTGCTGTATAAGAGGAAATAAAATTAAATTAGTACCATACCATCTAAGAGCTTATAAAGTGATTCATCATTAAGCACAGTTGGATGATATAATTAGGAGTTTGTTTTGGCAAGAGTATGGATTTCAGACTAGGGTTGAGCACTGACTCTGACATGCAATAGTTGTGTGAACTTGGGCAAGATTTTTAACTCTGTGACTAGCAAAGGAAAAATACTTGGATTATAATGTGGTGAGTGAGAACTTAGCATGGTTAAGAATTCTGGAGTTCCTTTCTTCCCCCATCTTACTAGTTCGAGTAAATTAAATTTCAAAAGTCTCAGGTACGAACATAGCTCTCTTCCTAATAAGATTTGTTTGATTAAATGAGGTAGTTCATATGTCTAGTATGTGGTAGGAACATAGTACCTGACCATTGAAGACCCCAGCCTGGTCTTTGACATGACCTATCAAAAATGTTAGTTCCCTCTTCCCCATGCTTGTGTCTTACTGCTTTGGACACTAAGAATTTTAGCATATGGGAGAGACAAATCATTGTATTGCTTCATTGGGAAGTTTTAGTGGAGAGTTAAAAATAATTTCAGTGTTTCAAATACTGCAGGAGAATGCAATGTGTAAAACAAAAATAAGAAGAATATATCTTTAATAATGGGAGTTGCTGCCTGTTCCCTTTAGGAATGAGTTCCTGGCTGCAGAAGTCTTTATCTCGACACCCAGATCAAACAGCATACAAAGGTCACAATGCCAATTTCTTCCCAAACTTGCTTTGCAGTGTCAGTCCCGGTTTTTAGGGAAAGAGTGGTGGTTGCTATGGAAGCGCTAATAATGATTGCTGTCTGTACCTCAATTCCTCATACTCTCAATCTCCAATATAAAATCACTTAGACTTGGGCTGTAGGGCAGTAAACAAAATTTCAAGCAAGAATTAACTGAGCTTGGGCATTAGTGTCTTAATGTAGGAAATGACTTTGAATATAACCTTTACAAACCCCAGCAGCTTGGCTGTGTCAAAGGAGCTTCTAATTTCCTGACGGTGGACTGAAATTCATGTGGTTCAAACCTTGGCACAAACAGTGCTAAAAACAGAAACATTTTGGGCTTTCGTCACACAATATATATGAAAAAATCTTTATTTTGTCCAAAACCGGCCATAGTGTAGGTCTTTTATTTTTACGTATATTAAGAAATTCAGCCACATACTAGATACCTAAGTGGAAAGAGAAAAATATTCCTGTTGAAATATAAATGTCTATATATTTTTAAAATAAAATCTTGCCGGAAAAATGACATCTTTGCTATATTTCTGTGAGATTTGTGATCCATGTAATAAAAGCTTCTTACTCCTGAATTATATTGTTAAGATATGGATCTTAGTGCTTATTAATGTATAACCAATCTTTGGGGGAAAACTAATTCAGTCTTTGAGCTCCAGGCACATAAAGTTAGAAATGGGTTATTGAATGGGTGGGGAGAAGACATATCTAATTTGGGGACTTTGCAGCCTCACCAGAATGCAAATAATTCAACAATAACACAGAATAAATAGCTTCCGTTTCTACAACTGCACCTCTCTGTAATCCCAACAGTATGTGTTTTCCAACAATTATCTGGCCTTATTCTCTGTTTATTGCTTAGGATTTTAATGCTTCGAATGGGGAACGTAGAATAAATTGTTTGTCAGTAAAATTTGAAAAGATGCCTGAGTATAGTTTTTCACTACATGACATAAGCATTTTTGAAAAGGAAATGTAAACATTATATTAGCTCTGGATCCTCCAACTCCTTGGCAGAAAGAAGTGATAGCAACTTTGTAAAGGTTAAATAGGCATGCTTAGGGCCATGAATGAAATTAAGTCTTCTGGGCCTTGAATGAAATTGTCTTCTACCAAGTGTATACACTGCAGAAGACAAACGTTTATCTGTGTGGATCAACTGAATGTATATTTCAGTACATTCATGTTTGCAGGGCTACTTAAGCTATGAGTTCTGGTACCAAATAATAAAAATGCAGGTGGAAATATCAAATTCATCAAGCAGCTACGATAAATTCAGATGCTCTCCAGACCTAACAAGGTGATGTCAAGAAAGTTAAACTTGAAGAATGAGACTTAGATTTCTAAATGAGATCAGGGAAAAGAAAAAACAGAATTAATAGGGGAAATCAAGACTGAAACAATCAACATTGCAGCTACATTTTGCGGAGAGTTTAAAAATCAATTCTTTCTGCTTGTTCTAAAATTGTTCTGCCAAAAAACTGACACTATTATATACTTTTCATTTTTTGGTTTATTTAGTCTTTAACACAGCCATTGTTAGTTTAACAATCTAATACTTGGGTACATTACTGCAAAACAAGGACATAGCTGTATAGGTTATGCCATCAATACATTTGTTAAACGTATCTCTTTTGTAAGAAAAAGCAGTTTGTTAATACTGTCTTGGATTAGCTATACTTGTAAGGTTGCTTATAATGGGTGGTAAAAAACTAATGGTAGAAATTTTCTCCCTGCTACCATTCTTTAAACGATTGTTTAATAATTTTCTTAAAACATTAGCATTCTGTAATTAAAAATAAAGCCATATTTTAGTATAATGTTAGGCAGTAGTAAAAATTACTCTGTTTGAATATATGTGCACATATATACAAATACTAGCAAGCTTTAAAAAGTTAAGAAACATATTAAAATTATGTGAAAGTAACATATAAATAAAATATGACCTAGAATAAAATTATCATTACGTATAAAAAAAGGAAAAACAGAAGACTTCCTTCCCTTCTCAAATCTGTTGATTTTAATTATAAACCAACATTACATTTGGAGTATATGGGATATTTCAAATTTGAAAGACATTACATTAAAGAATAGTATGATCCAACTTCCTAGAAAAGGCAGTATACATTAATTAATTTTGAAGATTTATATTCATTCCAATATTAAAGAGACAACATTCTTTTGAGCTTCTTTAGAGAAACATCTTTTATTTATTAAAAAAGTCAGCTTTAACACAGTAAAATGTTTTTTATATTATTTGAAAATGTTAGAAAATAAAAATATTGTGAAAATATAACATTATTCCAGGATATATAAACTTCTTTAGTATTGTTATAAAGAGTGAAATACTTGAACTGATATTGTAATTATTCTATTTTTAAGCACATACTTTTTTTCTTTGTCTTCATTTTCTTTGGCATTCTTTGTTTCCTATTTCTCTTATTTTCCCACAGCTCTTTCATAATTCTCTTTTTCTAATAGTCCCAACTTTTCTACATATCTTACTTCATTAGTTAAACATTATAATCTTTCAATTTTCAGTTCATTTTCAATAAAGCAATGGTTTCTATTAAGTGGATGGTCAACTGAACTTTCTCTTCTACTTTCTAAAAGAAGTGTTTTCTTTTTAAAATATAAGGTAGTTACACCTGTAGCTTAAACACATGTATATTGCATATCACACACTTGAAAAATAGAAATCAGATTCACCGAGTTCTGTGGAAATTCAATATATTAGTGGTACACTGTTCCGCAAGCATATGGAGTGACAAAAAATAAAATCACATTTCATGACTAGTATCTTAAGTAGCCTTTGGTTTTTCTGCCTAAGTTAAATTGCTCAGTGTTTTTCAGCTGCTCCATTTCTTCTTCTGGGCAATCTTGGGGAAGTTCTATGGAAATGAAACCTACGACCAAATTAGAAATAGACCCCTGACAGGCTGCCTCCATAGTAAATCCTGGTCTTGTGCGTGTTGCTGCTACGTCGTACATGATTTCTGTGTGGACCACAACACAGTAGTGAGAGGCTGGTGCTGGCGACATGCAGGAGTTTGTGCCAGGCTCCGGCACCCCGCCCACCTGGAGACACCAGCCGGACACCACAGGCAGGCCGCTGTTTAGGCCATCTGGTCCACCTGGAGCACAGGTGGCTGCGCGGGCTCCTCCTCTGACCGCTCTGCTTCCTTGGAGTTGAGGGCATAGCCGCCCTCATAGCGCACCTTCCGTGCCTGTTCCATGGCCACCGGCGACTCTTCTTCATCTTCCACGATAGTCAAGTCCACGTTGCTGTCCATGCCGGAGTTACTGCCTCTGGAGGCTGCCCTCCCACTATCGCCCTCGGCCCCCTTCCCTTCCACCAGGACGCTGGCGAGGGATGCTTCGGAAAGCCCCTCGGCGTAGGAGCCGTCCTCGTGGTCATTCGGCATCTGCTCGTTGCTGGGCATCTCTTCTGACTTGGTCTCATTTTCTGCCGCGCTTTCCGCGTCTCGGACTTTCTTCCGACCAAAAGTAAGGGGAGAGACCTTGAAGGGGGAGCTTTTCCCCGAGGATGCTTTCTGATGATTAGAAGCGAACGATTTCTTAATCTTCTCTCTCCTCTCCACAGATACAATCTTGGTCCCCAGCTTGTTCATCTGTTTCTCGATGTTCTGGCGCGAGAATGCTTTCTTGATGCTATCCACTTTCCGGAGGCTGGATCTTTTTATTTTCTCCGCTCTACTTTCTTCCATATTTTCCTCCGCACTGTCTTCCAGGCCCTCCTCGTCGTGGGGCAATTCGTCCTCCGAGGAGAGGTCCACCGTGTGCAAGGCTTCCTCCAGGGACTTGTTTTCATCGGCAAGCTCCTCCTTCCCTTCCGCGGCACTGGGAACAGGCTCTTTGGCAAACACACTGGCAGGGATCTCATTTTCTTCCTGAAGAGATGGACAAGGTAGATTTCATGTTAACAACACAAGTCACAAGGAGTCCTGAACGGCTGCAATTCCTGTATGGTTTGGGCATGGTGGAAACCAAACGTTTGTGGCTGCAGAGTTCCAGAACATGAAGGGTTAATTCTAAATTGGTCAAGGTTTCCCTCCTCGGCTGCATAAGGCCAAGGGCTCCCTGTTGGGAGATTGTGAGGGTTCTGGCATGGGCTCTATCAGTGACAGGCAGAGGGGGAAGTGGGCTGTGGCTCAGAGAGACCCGGAAGCTGCTTCGATAAAGGAGCTAAAGTAAGTTACTGTGAACTTCTCTCCCACCGGCTCAGCTCCTGCCAATATCCCCCTGAAAAGGATCCTGGAGCGCAAGTTGGAAGATAAGAGATGGGGGCAGGGGAGAAAAACCAGGAAGTCCTTCGGTGTCAGACACCGTGTAAAGCCTTGATCGGGCTTCCTCCCAACCGGCGGTCAGAAGGGAAGATGTGGGCAACCTTGGTATCTGCTCAAAGTGCACGCTAATTTTTCTGAAGATACCATTTTGGAGTGAGAGAGGCAAGGGCCAGCCTTGCTGGGGACCCACTCACAGAGCCTCGAGGTTTAGTGTATCCTTTGTGGGCGTGAATAAGGGGAGGTGGCACACTATGGCCATTTTTAGAGTAGTAAAGGGGAGTTATGATGCCCAGTGCAGCTTATGAGGCCTCTGTGGTTCAACGAGCCTCCTGGGGCAGTAACACTTGAGCCCTCACCTAGAGCTAAGAGTGAGGACAGAAACTCAGGACTCTCCCTGGACACACTATTCCCAGCACACCTTTCTCCAGCTTCTAGGCACAGGGGCAAAGGTCTGCCCCTTGCCCTGTCTCAGGGAGCAGAGCCTGAGCACTTGCCTCCAGATGCAAGGGGACTGATTCTCCAGTGGTGCTAACCAAGGAAATTTGAATTTAGACGGACTTGAGTCACACAGCATAGAAATCCCTTTGATTTTTATATTTTTCTTTGAATATTGGAAAACGAGAGCCAGGCAGCAAAGTGCCCTCCCATTTTCATGGCAAGAACGTGAACAGGAAGCCAGTCCCAGTACTTGCGGTACTGTGAAATGGCTGTGAGACTTTCAGCAAATAACTTAATTTCCTTGGGTCTCAGTTTCTTCCAGATGAACAAGCGGATTTGACCTAGATTGGCAGCCTTCAAACTGCACTTTCAGGGACACTAGAGGTTCTGCAAGAGGGCCAAAGTGGGCCAGCCTCCAGAGTCCATACCACCCTGGCTTCAACCAAAGCTGTGATGTTACCTGATTATATGGTGGACCACTCAGTAAACTTTCCGTTTGAAAAATAACTAGATTTAGTGAATTTAAAAGTCTATCTGGGATCTAAACGTCATGCAGAGTTCATGCTAACAGTACAAACTTCTCATTTTGCAATTTTGATTGATGGAGAAATTGGCCTTATAATAAAAAACATGCTCCAAGAGTGAGCCTGCATATTTTTTTAACTTCTTACTACAAAGACTAAATGAATAAACTTTTGATATAGAGACATTTAGAAATGTCTCTCCTTATTACCACTGAATGGTATAATTATGATACTCTCTGCAAAGATACAGCCCTGTGTCTCCCCCTTAGCACACACACTCATACCCAAGTCCTTTCATAAACTGGTTAGGAACAAAAGATAAAGTCTTAGGTAGAGGTAAAGAGCGGAATGCCTGGTTGAATACAATCCTTGGTAGAGTGAAGAAATCACAGGTTCCATTTCCCAAAGCTTTCTCCCATTTTTAAAATTGAATTTATTGGGGGTGACATTGGTTTGCAAAACCATACAGGTTTCAAGTATACAATGCAATGAAACACCTGAACACTGCATCACGCACCCATCTCCCCAAGGCAAAGTCTCCGTCCCCATTTCCCCGCACCCTTTGCCCACCTACCCGCTCTTTCCCTCTGACTATCACCCATACTGTTGTCTGTGTCTGGGTGTTATGTATATATATTTTGTGGCTAATCCCTTCACCTTCTTTCACCAATACCCACCCATTTTGAATGCAAAAAAAATGTCAGGAACACCATATAAAGACAAAGTTCAAAGTTGAAAGGAGGATGGGATTTCGCTATGACATGTACTTTTACAGAGAGCAACTTCCCCATGTTTCAAGTCTCAACTTGCATGTACTCCCCATGAAGGTGGAATTTTTGTGTTGTTCACTGTTATGCCCCAGTGACTAGAATACTTCCTGGCAGCTCAACAGCTACTCGTTAAATGAGTGCATGTTGGGTAAGGTGGCTTTCTCAGACAGCCTTGAGGGTGCTGGAGTGGAGACTGCCCCTCCATGGCTTTGAAGACTGAAGAAGAATGAGCCTTGCTCTTTGTCTAGAAGGAAGTTTGCTGGCTGTTGCTGTCACTAGAAAATGAGGAGAACCTAAGGCATAAGAAGTGCAGTGGTTTCCATTTTTAAGAAAGGATTTTATTCTCAGAGGATGAGTGTGACTGAAAGAGGGGTAGATTGCAGAAAAACCTAGGGCTTTGATGCTTAGTCCAGAAGCAAAATTATTCTGTGGTTTGACAAGAGTGTTGGGATGGTTTGACAGGAGTTGCTTGCAGGAAAGAAAAAAAAACCAAGAGCTCAGTAAAATGTTATTAAAAGTCCTCAGTGAAGAAGGCAGAAATTCAGGTGGAAAATTGTAAAAATGAGTCTTGGTTATGAGAGAAGAGGTACATTTATATAGTGTAATCTCTCAGGGTAACCAAAGGATTACCCTGATAACTTTCTTTTCTTCAACCTCAATAAAAGGTAGACATATTAGTTGTACTTCTAAAAGAATTAAACTAATAATTTTGTATTTTTTCCTTAGATGTAAATTTTATTATTAAAAAAGCATAGTCACTGTTGAGTCTTAGACTCTTATATCTCTCATTATGTGTCCTTTGAGGACGGTTTGAGGAAAGTGCATGCTCGTGTGATTCAGAAGTGATCTGTGGTAGATACACACTATATATATGAGGACAGTTAAGAGAGAGTGGGAAACCCAACTGAACTCTTTTATACAATGCCAGGGAAATTTATACAAGTGCTCTTTGATGCCAACTATGAAAATAAACCCAGCAGGAATAGACATAATCCAGAATGAGTTGGATGCATCTTTATGCAACTGGAAACAAGTGAGATATGTCTTCTTGGCTAACTGCTATGCTTCTGCTGTCATTTTAATTACTCAAGCAGTACTTTGTGTTCTGTCTACTGGACAGTATTTATTTTGTGGCTTCTTATGGCATCTACTCTGAAGGTGAACTCTTTCCTTTTTTTTTAATCCTCATCCGAGGACATTTTTCCACTTTTTGTTCAGATAGAGTGGGAGGGAGAAAGAGGAAGAGAGAGAGAAAGAGAGAGAGAGAAACAAGAGAGAGAAACATCGACGTGAAAGGGGCACATCGAGTGGCTGCCACCCGCATGACCCAACCAGGGCCAGAGACAAACTGCAACCAAGGTACGCGCCCCTAGCGGGAACTGAACCCAGGTCTCTCCAGACCGCAGGCCGACGCTCCTCTAAGTGCTGAGCCAAACCGACCAGGGCGTGAACCCTTTCACTTTTAACACAGGAATTTGTGAATGTCCAAGCACGTGTAGGCCTTACCTTTCCATAATGTTTTTTGAGAAGCAGGAAGATACTGATGCACTTCAAAATCTCTATTCTGTAGTAAAATATATGCATGGCATTCAACCATGAAGTGACTCTCATGATGATGGAAATTCAACTTGAACCTCAGACAGTGGATCCTCTGCAACTGCACAGTCCTCCAGGTGCCCAGTCTCACCTGCACATATGTTTTGCTCAGGACACATACATCTCAAGGACACACTTGATATTTCACCTACCTACAGGTGAGGTTACACTTCTGTCTTTTGCCTCCTATCATAATGTTTTTGATCTGCTTTCTCTGTAGATTCCAAGATTGTTGGCTCTTCCAAGGGGGAAGATCAAATATACACCTTCAATTCTCTCACTGCTTACTTATGCTACTCATATATCTACTAGTGGTTGTGACTCCTTACTTAGCATGGCATTAAGAATCCCTTGTGGGTTGCATTGCTTCCTTGGGTAGTTCTACTCAGTAGATTCCCCCCAAGAGCAGCTGACTATTTCCCCTACACATTTATTTTCGAAAAGATACCCAGGCTCCACTGATGCATCTGCTCCTGGTTCTGATGTTTCACGAAAGCCCTTGGAAACTTTTCAAAGGGTGGGAGAATTAAACAGAACACTTCACACATATGAAGGACACATTTGCAAGAGAAAAAGAGTGGAGGGAACTCCTGAGAAGCAGCCTTTTCCCTTGCACTTTAGCTTGTTTGCTGTTTATGTTCATTCTTCTGAACTCATAATTCCAGTTGTGCATATAGATATCAACAGAGAGGAAGTTGCCAAATTGCTGGGCACTTTATGGGTTGAAACTCATGGAAGAAAATCTGCACATTTATACAGATATGTACACTTTAAAACAGAAGGAGATTCTATGTCTAGCATTTGAAAAGGAAGCCTGCAGTAAGTCATTTAAAACTTGAATAAAGAGAGACAAGCCAGCAGTTTGCTCTCCTGTCACTAACGTATTATTCCTGTGGTTAGAAGACAATAACAAAAGCTGTCATATTCCCACAGGGATGTGGTGGCATCTTGGAGGGATATGAGGATCATAAATTTGTGTCCATGAAATGTTTTATCCAATAATCTCTAAATACTAGTTATTAAAATGGAACTATGCCCACCTGACATTCTGATTTATGGGTCTCTTTTACACATTGATGGCTTTCTCCGATTTGTGTTTCTGAGGTATAGATTGCCAAGTGGATAAAGCCATTGATTAGAACTGCACCCCTAAGGCAGCTGTTGGTGGAATCAGCAAGTCATAAGAATAAAATGCATTAGTTATAATCCCTGAGCAGTCTTTCACATTCTGGAGGATTTAAAAGTTTCATTATTTTTCAGTGTTATCAAGGGTTCA